CGGACTCCTGGGCCGCGGAGGGGTGTTGCAGCTCGCTTTCCCTGTGCCGGGGTGGGCTGTGCTAAACCGGGGCCGCGCCGTCGGTGCCGCGTCCGCGGGAGACGCCTGGCTTCCCAGGAACTGGTTCCTGGGGACTTCCCTCTCTTCCCAGCGCCTCAAGCTGTGGCTGCAGTGGAGGGGCGTCGTGCAAGCGCAGTGCGCAAGATGATCTGGGGTCCTTCCAGCCGAAGGGCGTAGTAATCATGATTAACTCCAGTAAGTTTCGGCTTCTAACTCTTGTCAGAATGTTTCTTTAAATAGGTGTTGCTCAAAAATAACCCTGTCTTCCCCCGCATTTGTTATCAGGTTCCATGGCAACCTCTCCTCCCCATCTTAAAAAAAGAGGTGGCTCGTTAAGTCCTATATAACTGTTCATGTCTGCTGCAACCCTTCATCAAGATGATCTGAGTAACAGTAACAAACCCCTTCTGGCAGCCAAATTGCCAAATTGTTGTGGTTTAGACCAAAGCATTAAAAAGTCCTCAACGTTGCTGTAAGAAACAAACTGATTTTAGCGTTTTAATACTAACTTTACTTTTAGTGAATCAAAATACAGATGACTATCCGATGTGCGAGTAGTCCAGGCTCATTCCAAACCACATGTGCGTGAGATCTTTTTATCCGTCTGAAAACGACAAGCTCATGCGGAGCGGCAGGATAGGAATGACCAGCCAGTGTCTTCCCAAGCTTCAGCCCAGAGGAAAAGCACTTGCACAGTTACACATTACTAGTAATTCTTAACTGCAGTACTGTTAGTTGAACCCTTTAGAGGGTAAAGAGCCATCTGAGAAGGCTTCTGCCTGTGTGCTGAATCACTGTTATTTTAGTAAGATAACTGATAAATACGTTATTGAAAAAAGAATATTGCTGCAAACTACCGCATTAAATGATGCTTTTTTTGTTGTTGTTGCATGTATGTCTGATAAAAACCACTTTAATAGATAATTCACACCAGTGCTGTATCAGGAAATGGACTGGGACCAGTTTGACTTGAACCCTAAAGTAATTGCTGCCCTTAAGAAAGGTAACTTAATTTGCCAATATCTCGCTAACAGGTCTGTCACCGGTGTCTTCCCTTACGTAACTCTGTGTTTGTGGGTGTAAGCACACAGATGTAACATTTTAGAACTGTAATTAAGTATTTCATAAGCAAGTCTTCTGAGTAATCAGAAGTGATGGCTTTTCCCTATGACCCAGTAATAATTTCCCTATCGATTTTATAGTACGTGCTGATATGTTCCGAGTAAACGTTGCCTGCCCTGCTGACAGGAATGCAGCGCAGATGGACTTGAAGTAAACGCTTAGTAGAAAGTGGGGAAATTTGTTTTGTGCATAAGGCTAATCCAGCCGAAAGTATTTATGAAAATTCTTCTAATTTCAGCTGACATAAAATCAATAAAAGAGATTTTAAATCTTTCCGGCTCAGACTTGCAAAGACTGATGAAACTCTCCAGTGCAGATGTAGAGTGCTTACTGAAAACAGTCTCTCACACGCTGAGGAGAAATAGTATGCTTACAGGTAATATAGTCAATACAAAAAAAGTGTTCTACTTAAATCGCTGTCACTGGGAGAAGATGAGGTTTTGGCTCCTCGTTGACCCAGTCATGTGATTCTGAAACTGAAAAGGCAAGAGTGTTCTGTTATGCTGTATTGAACTGTTTATCCTAAGGACAGCTCCTCCGAGACCTTGAAGGTAGATGGAAGCAGGTGGGTGTCATTCTTCAGGATCAAGTCTGCCTGAAACAGCGCAAAATGCTTCTCCACTCTGGAAAACTTGATTAGAGGAAAAAAATCCCTTTCCCTGTATAAACTGATTTGGTATAAACACCTCTTCCCAAACCCAGCAGGGCCTAATAGCTCTTCCTGTACAAACAGCTCATGGCAGCTCTGTGCTTAGAATTTATTTTCTTGCGATTTGCATATATCTTCAGGCTTTGGCCAGATGCCAGACGCACTGTTTCGTAGCCTGCTGTAGCTTTCCATTTCCATAACTGCTGTGCCTGAACCTTGCTGGCAGTATTCTCCCAGAGTGCAGCTTTCTGTAGAGACTCTTCTACTTTGTATGTTTGTTTGTTAGAAAGATACTAAATGGAATTCCTTTTTTTTTTTCTCCTTTATAATAATCTAAAACCATCCAAAACCCTGCAGCACTTCAACTCTACCAAGATAACGACCATCTCACCTCCCAGCACCAGAAGCTAAGCCTAGGATGTTCAGTACTAGATAACTTGTTAAAAGGTGGCATTCCTCTAGTGGGAATCACAGAACTTGCTGGGGAAAGTTCTGCTGGGAAGACTCAGATTAGTTTACAGCTGTGCCTTTGCGTGCAGTATCCTTACAGATACGGTGGGTTAGAGTCTGGTAAGTACTGAACGTAAATATTGATTCATTTGCTGTTTGTGTTCAGATCTCAAAGAATATTCTGTTTGATAACAAAGATTAAAGTGATTTACAGCGTAAAATCGATGGAAATCTAATTGAAGAGAGTTGACATCATTGTTTTGTAGTTGAGATTTTTCCTGGTTTGGCCAAAGTGTGTAGGCTTATTCTTTGATTTGGGTATAGGGTTTTTTTTAACTGTCTAACTTCTAACATTTTCTTTTGAGTATTATATGCTCTCTTAAAAAAGGAGGAAATTTCTGTTGCTTTTGAGAATCCGATGTCCTGGTAGTCTGCCTTGGGTGTGTTTTGGCTGTCATCTTTCGCTTCTTTCCACACATCTCTGGGGTTAATTTGGTACCTCAGTAGTTTGTTGTGGGGAAACTTCATTATTTTGTTTACTATATCCACCCTTGTGGAAAAATCATGGAATGTCCAAATGAAGATCTTTCTTAGTGGGCAGTAATTAGCCTTAGCGGGCAGTAATTAGCCTGTGGTTTACATTAGTTTGCTTTAAGTCACATCATAAATCAGAGCGTAAGCAAGTATATTTTGTTCGATTCCCCTGTGTGTCGCTGCTAACTGCTGCGGATACTCTGAATGCAAATACATGTTTCTTCATGCCCCAGCACTTCTCCCTGTTTATGTTGAAAGAAAGGAACAAACCAGGACAGAGTACAGAAGGAATTCCCCAACGTTCCAATGGCACTCTTGTCTCTTGTACCAGCCTACAGCCTTCCTTGTAGGGCTACAAGACAGCAAGTCTTTTTATTACTGGGGTTTGAATGGTTCTTGTTTCTTATGCCCTAGCGCTTGGTGCCGTTAGGATTGCTTTGTCACGGATTCAGAGAGTGGAAGGGGTTGGAAGGGACCTCTAGAGACCATCTAGTCCCTGCCAGAGCAGGATCACCTAGAGTAGATCACACAGGAACAAGTCCAGGCCCATCTCCCCACTCCTGAAGCATCTCACGAAGGTAGGATGGAATGGCCATTCTATCAGTGCTCCCGTGGGAGAATCAGCGCTGAGAGCACAGAACTTCTGAGGATCTTGAAGGTACAGAAGGTGGAAATATCCTGGTGCGAGAGTATGAGAGTTAAGGGAGGGGTGCAATCCTAATTCTTGGAGTTCTTTGTGGTATCTTGCTGTACACTAGACTGTGTACAGTCATGGCAGCAGGTACTGTTTGCATGGCACTTAGAAAATGAAACTCAATTTCTCTGCAGTCTATAAATACACGTTATGTTGAGCCTCTTAAGAGAAACACAGGCACTAAAAGCTTATGTTAAGTACGAGGAGGTTTGTCCTTTAAGGAATGTGAGCAGAACAACAATGCTTAGTGCTAGACTTCTGGGATAGTTACTACTGACAGAAGATTAATCTCAGTACTAAAACTTCGTTAATGATTTAAAATTATGGTGGGTTGTTGATTTTTGGCGGTTTTTTTATTAGTGCTAGAAACTTCCCTTCTCTTAGATGGTGATGCTGAAATACATTTCTTCAGACAGTATAGATTTATTGTGCATTTAATTCACTTGACTCAGTGCTAATCTAGTTTATGATTCTCAGTTCTAGGAGTTCGGCAGCAAACAAAGAAATTAGGGCATCTTTGCCTCCAGGTTATCCTTCTGCCCTTTAAGAATGTCAGTTATGGTCAGTTGCACGTTGGCTGAATTTATTTTATGTGCTCATATTCATGAGTAATGAATGAATATAATGTGCCATTCCTATCCATTTTAGAATTCTGAATTAGAAAAAAATGTTTGCTGCTGGCTCTTGGGAGCAAGCTGGTTTGGTGTTGGACAGGTTATGTTCACAGAGCTCAAAATTTGTCCCTTGAGCATGGGTCTTTTTGGTGTTTAATTTGTTCGGGTTTTTTGGGGTGTCTTTTGGCCACCATCCAGCATAGCACTTTTATCAGCCTAATTAATAGGATAGCAGTGGGATTTGATGAAATATGTGATTTGTGGTTGTTTTTTGTGGACCTGTGCTTATATGATCCCTGTGGATGGCTGACTCCTTAAGACTCTCTCAGGTTCTTTCTCAGCAGTGGTAACTACCCCAACTCCTGATGTGTTGTCAGCGATGACAGCTTCCTAATGAACTGTGCGATGCCATAGGCTTTTCTTTTTGCAGGGTAATAGTCTCCTCTCAGTTTTTAGGTCATGATGATTTACTTATCTTTAAAGGTATGTGAATAATTTTTGCCTCATCATTAGGCACTGTTCTTTAACACTGAGTTTAGTTGTTTAGTTCTAGCACCCTTGTAACATGGCTACAAAGCACCTCCTGTACCTTTAATGCACAGGAGCATATTCTCATTAATCACAGGCTGTGTTGTGGCTCAAACTCAGCAGTTGCTGAAGAGGCTTGATGAAGGGCCAGTAGGAGAGAGTGCTATTCCCATTGCACTGTCCAACTCAAATTTTAAGCCAAGGCAGAGCTTATCTGGTATGTTTTATATGGCTTAACTGTCCTAAAGTTTGAGATGAAAGTTGCATTATTGTTTTGTGAAATGAGCAGCACTTAAAAGGGTTTGCCCCGCTGTGTATTTTGGAGAAATCCCAAGTGGACTGGTTATGTGCTTGGAGCACAGTATCTGCTGTAGCAGCCTTAAGTGGTGTCAAAGAAGCATTACAGGAGAGTAGAGGATTGGCAGGTGACTGAACGCTGGCATTTACAGAACTAAACTGAGGCAGGAAATAGTCACTCTGTGAAGCAGAACTGATCTTAAGGAGGAATTAATCTCCTTGATCTCTTTTTACAAGCGTCTCTCTAAAAAAGACAAGAGTGTGTTCACTTGAATACTGCGATTTTGCAAAGAGGATGGCGTGTATCTGTTGACCAGTAATTTTTAAAACTAGGTTGCTGGACCAGTGGGGCAGAGGGGACCACATTTTTGCTTCCCCAGCTGTTCTTTTTTTGCCTTCAGGTGTTACAGCTGTAGGATTACCTTGTTTGCCTGTGAAATGTGAAACTGGGACACAGTTGCGTACATGTCTAATACGGGAAGATTGCTTGGTCATTTCATGCTCTTCTGCTCTTCCCTTGTGCTTGTTCCTATCACTGTTCTTACACTGTACTGAAGTTATCTGCAAAGAAGGTCTCTAAGAGAATTTTACGTTGCTTTTTCTCTAGATAAGTTAATTTTGGAAAAATGTATTTTTCTAAAAACCAGCACATTCAGCAAGTTTCTCTCTGGTCTGAAAGGTATTGAATGTTGCAGTAGGTCTGAGTTGCATCTGGAAATGGGAATTTTGGCTCCCTGGAGAGCCAGCACAGGGATGGACCATTGGGGTGGGAATGTTCAGGATGTCTCGTGTTGCCACGCACATCAGCTGCCAAGCTCTGTTAGCAGCTTCAGCCACTTCAGTGAGTGGGATTCATCCCTCGATGTAACCCTGTAAGTGTTGGCTGGTGATTCTGGCTAGCTCTGCAACAGCAGCAGCATCCTTTATAAAGACAACATGGCATACCACTGCTACTGGTTTTTGGCTGGGTTAGTTGAGTCTCTTTGTAGCACAGTACTGTGGTTTGGATTTCTGACCAGAACAGGCAAACCATGCCGCATCGCTCCATGTGTGGGTTGGATAGATTACAAGCCAAGTCGGGTACTGTGGTGTTCCGCAGCTGCGCAAAGCAAGCGTCATCCAGTGGAGAGGACAAAAATCCTGTTGGCAGCTGGCACCAAAACCACACGGGGCAGCTACAGGAAGGTCCATAGGAGTGGGCTGGGTGGTGGCGGTGTTCAGCATTAGCTCAGTCAGGCTGCAAAAGGCAGCAACGGGAACTCCCAGGTACACATTCCGAGCGCAGAATGCGTTATTTCTGTGCTGTTTGAAAGCTGGGGGTTTGAGCGCCCTGCTGGAGTAACAGAGGTGGTCTCCCTGACTGCAGGAGCTGTCTACATCTGCACGGAGGATGTATTCCCGAGTAAACGTTTGCAACAACTCATAGGTCAACAGCAGAAGCTGCGTGCGGATGTTCCGGCTGAAGTCATACGGAAGATCAAATTTGGAAACAGCATTTTTGTTGAGCATGCAGCAGACCTAGTAAGTATAGCAGCACAGATAACAAATATATCTTTATTACACTGTAATCAAGTAACCACAGGGTGAGGGTTTCGGATGCAGGAGACTGTAACGAATACTGCTTCATCTCTGCGATTTGTTGCTAGAAAACCATTACGGTGTTTTATTGTGAAAGATATTCAAAGCTAAATACTAATATTTGTTTAGAATGAATCATGTCATGGGGTTTGAGAACTCATTGTGTTTATTAAAAAGTAGTAGACTTACGCTACTGGTTTTACTGCCACTCCTAGGGAGATCTTCATTGAGTCTGGAGGCAAAACAGACTCAGCTTGGGGAAGAAAAAAGACTTTTTATCAATCAAAATGAGAGTAAAAAGAGAACTAAACCCAGATCTTAAAACACCTTCTCCCCCACCCCTCCCTTCTTCCTGGGCTCAAATTCACTCCTGCTTCTCACCACCCTCCCCCAAAGCAGTGCAGGGGAACAGAGAATGGGGGTTGTGGTCACTCCGTCACACCTTGCCTCTGCTGCTCCTTCCTCCTCAGGGGAGGATCCTCACACTCTGCCCCTGCTGCAGCCTGGTGTCCCTCCCACGGGAGACAGTCCTCCATGAAATTCTCCCATGTGAGTCTTTCCCATGGGCTGTAGTTCTTCACAAACTGCTCCAACGTGGGTCCCTTTCACAGGGTGCAGTCCTTCAGGAGCAGCCTGCTCCAGCCTGGGTGCCCCCGGGGTCACAAGCCCTGCCAGCAAACCTGCTCCAGCCTGGGCTCCTCTCTCCATGGGACCACAGGTATTGCCAGGAGCCTGCTCCAGTGTGGGCTTCCCATGGGGTCACAGCCTCCTTCAGGCATCCCTCTGCTCTGGGTGGGGTCCTCCCTGGGCTTAAGCCGTCCATGGCTGCGGGGCACAGCCGGCCTCACCATGAGCTGCACCACGGGCTGCTGGGGAATCTCTGCTCCAGTACCTGGAGTACCTCCTCCCTTTCCTTTCCCACTGACCTGGGTGTCTGCAGAGCTGCTCCTCTCACATCTTGCCCTCTTTCTGTTTGCAAAATCCCCTCTTCTGTTTTTTTTCCCCTTCTTAAACCCATTATTTCAGAGGTGTTAGTTATGACTGCAACTGGCTCGGCCTCGGCCAGCAGTGGGTCCACCTTGGAGCCGGCTGGCATTGGCTCTGTCGGACATGGGGGAGGCTTCCAGCAGCTTCTCACGGAAGCTGTAGCACCCCCGCTACCAAACTGCTGCCACGCAAACACGATACATCTCTTTACAATTTTTCTTAAGGTAAAGCCACAAGACACTGGTGAAAAACTGTTACTAGTGAGAGCTCAATATCCAGAAGCTCCCTCAGTGATCAGAAGCTCCGCGGGTTTGTGTGTCAGTGCTGGTGTCTGTCCGTACCACCTCCATTTTACAAACAGGCGTTTGAACGCTGTTAACGCTGCCTGCTTGTGTTTTGTGGTAGGACACCTTCCACAGCTGCATCACCAAGAGGATTTCCCTGCTGCTCGCGAGGGGCATGGTGCGGTTGGTGGTCGTAGACTCCATTGCCGCTCTGTTCCGATGCGAGTTCGGAGTTTCAGATTCTGTTACGAAGGCTCGGTATTTGCAGACGTTTGGAGCACAACTTCACAGTTTAAGCGCTAGATTCAGGGCTCCAATAATGTGCGTCAATCAGGTATGACACCAAGATTGCTTCTCGCTCTGTCGGGACCGTTGATGAAACGGCAGGGGTGGGGAGGCATTGTGTGCAGGCGGATTTCTTGGTGGTGTATTTAACACTGTCCACCGAGCACTAATGACTGATGGCAACTTCCGTCCCCTTACGCTGGTGTTCTTTAAACTAGTTCATTTTAAATTCTCAGAGTTTAAGAATATAATTTTTTCTTTCATACACTGTTAACGTTCTTAAAGGTTGTCCATTAAAGCTGACAAAAATGGAATCACAGGATGGTTTGGGCTGGGAGGGACCTTAAAGATCATCCAGTTCCAACCCCCCTGCCATGGGCAGGGACACCTTGCACTAGACCAGGTTGCTCAAAGCCACATCCAGCCTGGCCTTGAACACTTCCAGGGATGGGGCATCCACAGCTTCCCTGGGCAACCTTTTCCAAGCATCAAAGTGAAATAATGGGACTCTTCCTTAAGTCTGGCTTCAAATGCTGGGGCTGCTCTGGGAACCCTGTGCGCAGTTATAGCCCGTGCGTACGGGAGGCAGTGAAACGACAGGGACTCTGCTGCACTGTGAAGCTCAGCGTTTTTGTAACTGCTGATGGCTGCAGTCAGAATGCGTGCAGGCAGACGCGCCGAACCACAAAAAAGGCCACAGTGATACCAGTGGGGAGGTAATTCCCCCAAGGTTCTTGGCTAGCTTCTGGGGGCTCTCTGCCTTTTTCCTGGGGCGTCTGAGTGCCCACCTAACAGGCAAAAGAAGATCTGACTCAAGGGTAAGACAAGCCTAGATTTATCCAGTCCCCACCTTGGAAGGGTTCAGCGTGAGAGGAAGGAGTGATTTAAGAGAGCTGCTTAGATCTGCCTTCCCGTGACGGGGTTGGATGTTGGTGCTGGCTCACAGCGGGTTAGGTCAGAGCCTGACACTGAACGACAGCAGTCTGAGCGCTGGCTAACAGAGGGTCCCTCTGTTCCAGTGGAAGGTGACTCATTATATCGGGTCTGTAGTTACAGAAATAAACTGTGAATACAGTAACATTATCCATTCTGTCCATTAAGTTTTGAGAAGTACCTGTAAACTTCCTGTGCTTCGTGAAGAATCTGAATGGAAGAATCATGACATAAAAGGCAACGGAGGGAGTCAGGTGGTGTGTGTTTTCCTAGGCCATAGTCGAGGGCAAACAGCTCTGCTAAGCAGGCCTTCACAGGTAGCAGTGAACTCTGACACCAGGAGCCCTTTTGGGCTTCAGTACCTTTTATCTACAGACACAGCATCGAAATGGCTTTGGGTGTGGGGTTTTTGGGTGTGGGGTTGGTTTTGGTGGTTGTGTGTGTTTTTTGGTGGGCTTTTTTTGTTTTTTTTTGGTTTTTTAACAAATGAAGCATTGGACGAGGCTTTGAGCAACCTGGTCTAGTGGAAGGTGTCCCTGCCCATGGCAGGGGGGTTGGAACTGGATGGTCTTTAAGGTCCCTTCCAACCCAAACCATTCTGTGATTCTATGATCTAGTAGTAGTTAAATTCTTACAAGCTGTAGCTGGCTAAATAGCTGTTGCACTGTAAATTAATGTGATACTTCCCATCTCCCTTCTAGTTTGCTGTGAAAGGGTACGGGTTTTCTAACTTAGTTTAATATGTGATCCAGTAACTTGGATTGTCTTGGCTTTGTGCCCTGCCCTTCTGTTTGCTAGAAACAAATGCATCACTACAGGTCAACTTGCAGTGTTGTTTCTCCACTGTAGGTGAGCGACGCGGTGAGCGAGTCGGAAGCTGCTCGGTGCAGTTGTAGGTAAGTCAGCCGCAGCAGAAGCGTGGCAGTGTTGCACACAGCAGCGTTTAACCGCCACCACTGCAGTAACTCCGCTGCAAACCACCAAAGCGCGTTAAGAGCAGTTGTGCCTTTACCCAGCAAAGCCGCATTTGCTGGAGGTCAGCAGTAACTGACATGCTGTGAAGGGGAAGAAACTGCATCTATCCTTAGGGGGTAACCCCCAGTCAGCAGGTTAGGGGGAAATTCGGGGGGTGCTGTGCTGACTTACACAAGGGTGCTTCTGCATCTCTCGTCTCTGATGCAACCGAGCACATTTTCTGTCTGCCTCAAACACCACAGCATCCAAACCTTGGGATGGTTTTGTTAGTTACTCAAGGAAAGAAAAGCCTTTCTTTTGACAGCAAGGTACCAGCAGGGACTGTTGTTTGAATCCCGGCTCTAATGGTGGTTGACTCGCCACACTCAGTGCTACGTAAACGTGTTTTTGCACGGAGTTGGTTATGTCCTCAGAATTGAAACTGACCCAGAACAACACCAAGTTTCAGGGTGTTTTTCCTGGTTATCTTGTAATTCTTTTACTGGAGCAACTGTACTGTTTCCAGGAAAAATAATAATTTTAAACTCTGGGTTGAAAGTTACACACCTGCAGTGCGGTACCTACAACATGTCTAAACGTACCCTTAGACGGAACCCAGGGCCAGCGGTTACACCGCCCGGTACCTGAGGCTCAGCTACTCCTGTTGCTGTTCTCCCATCACCAGAGGGGACCCATCATGGCTGTAGCCGGAAGACAAGTGCTTCCGTATGGAGTAATTCAGTCATTCTTCCAGGTGTTCCCTGGCTACAGAGAGAACCCAGCCTATGGATTGGTGAGAATACCCTGTCACCTCTCCCTTCAAAATCCTAGTCTTAGACACAGCGAAGGACAGTACATGCAGAAGCAGTAGATCATTCCTTCCAGCGTACTTTTGTTACAACCAAGTGAGGATACTGTGTAATGAACTCACACACACCGATGTCTGTCTCTGTTCCTTTACAGTGTGGCGGATAACAGAGTCTCTCCAGCACTTGGAATAACCTGGGCAAATCAGCTGCTGATGAGGCTGATGGTCAGCAGAGTGTCACCACTGGAGCGGTCAGTGGGAGTTGCCTCATGCCACACCGGAAGCCTGAGGACTTTGAGAGTAGTTTTTGCTCCTCATCTCCCTCCATCCTGTTGCTACTACACAGTAAAACTGGAAGGTGTAAAAGGGATGGAATGAATCCATCCTGCTCCAAGAGTGTATCATCAGAATTACTTAGCCTCAGGAAGAGTTAGGGTGAAATGAAATTCTTCCTAGATGAGAGAAATAGATGCTGAAACACGATACGATATGCAAGCCTTGTCTACGTCGTGAAAGACCTTTTTCCATGTGGGTGCGTGTTCCTGGGCTTTTCCTCAGGAGGCAGGCTTTCTGAGGGAGAGCAAAGCTGTGGGCAGGGGGAGGCTGCACAGTGGTGTCTGCTGTGCCCATCGATCTCCCACTGTTCCTCCAACAAGCTGACAGAGAAGCGGCAGGGGTGCGCCTGCTCTCACCTTCTCTTGCCAGACCCCAGGGACTCGTGTTCGACCGGTGGGTGTTGCCTGACAGTGTTTCCAGTCCCGGGCTGCATTCCCTACAGCCATTCCTCTACCTGTAGGGCCTTGGGAATCGGCTTCAGCACAAAGCAGCGAACCTGTTTAAAATCCCTGGTTGGTAACAGCAGGATTTTTAAAAACCCTAACAAAGGTACTTGATTTTAACATCTTACTGTAAGAACTAAAACCGCACTGTTTTGCACTGTACGGGTGTAGCTTCACAGAACCTCTACAGATTTTTTGGAAATGGTTCTTTTCCACTCTGCTGCTGCTTTCCAGTCCCCTCCCCACACAGCAAATGCCTCTTTAGCCTCTTCCATTTAAGAAGCAACAAACCACACACACCCCCATCCCCCCTGCAGCTTTCAGAGGAAGGGCTCTGTTCGTGTTCTTCCCAATGCTCTGCAGAGCAGTTCAGTTGGAGCTGGATAGCGTTCCCAAGCGGCTTCTGTGTTGCCGCCTCTGGGATCTTCCCTCCTTCCGCCTGGGCTCTTGGCTGAACTGCGCTTCTCGAGGCTGCCTTTACCTGCTCCATCCCTCTGCTCGGGCGGTTGTCAAGGCGTTGGGTGTTCTGCTTTGGTCTCGTCGGACCACTGCCAGAGCGGCTGTCCTGGCCCCGCTTGCGGCGCTGGGTGGTGGCTCACGCGGGTCCTGAAGGGCTGAGACCTCCCCCACGTTACAGAAGAGCCTCCTCCTGCCGGCGTGAGGCTCGCTCCTGTCACCTGTGCGTGAGGCTTTCCGGTCTCCCCCTTCCACCCACTTCCCAGGCTGCCCACACAAGAGTTCTGCCAGAAGCTTACGCTTGTCTGTGGAGTCACGCTGCTCCGCTCTTTTGGCGAAGGAGAACCGCCTGTTCTCCACAGCCTAAACAAGAGCATCTCCTCGCTCCGACACGTTCGGAGGACTATGGCTTGGCAAAGAGGCAAGTCTGGAGAGGGTCCTCGGCGTTCTTGGGGCACACCGTACTAGTGAAACAGCCACCTGCCCCCCAGCGCTGCTCATTCAGGACCCAGCAGCTCCCTCTCCTCGTGGAAGCGGGCAGCTGGGTAGGGAGCAGGCAGGAAAGGTTTTGTGCAGCTGCACCCCCGGAACTCCCAGGCGCAAGACTTCTCCGAGGAGAGCTGAGTACGATGCGGGAAGAGACTCAGAAAGGTGGGGGCTGTGCGACTGCCTCAGGAAGGTGGCGAGGAGAAGGGAGGCCGAAGGCAGGGAACCCTCAGCCAGCAGAAAGAGGGAGTTGAAGTGCCTGCTGAGATCCCACGACTCATCGAATGGGACCTTGTGCAAATGCTGTAACAAATTGTCTGTAAATCTCCCCAAAACGTCTCAATTCCCTGCACTGAAAATAACCACGCACACAGGTGTTTTTTAATAAACCCCAACCACAAAATGTAGAAGAGCCTTCGCATACTCGCCCTAAGGAACAGCGGGAGTGCTACGGCTGCCTCTGCCTCCTCTCCAGCAGTCTTCATGGAGATAAACTAACGCAGCGCAGGGAACACCCAAATTACGCTCTGCCATTTCTGGCCCCTTCGTCTGGGACAGGAGCTTCCCCCATGTGCTGTTCCTCTCACGGCACTGATCTGGCTCTTAGGAAAGTGCCACGGACAGATGTGGCTGAGCCAGGGGAGTTGGTCACCCCCCACCCGGACACTCGTTTACAAAGGAGCCTCACGAAAGCCCCAGCTCCACTCCCAGGAGCTGGCTGCACGGAGCCGTGTTCAGACCAGCCCCAGGCGCAGCTGAAGGGTCACTCCTGTAGCACTTGGGTACTTGCCGCTGCCCGCGTTGGTCCTCCTCACCCTCCAGCTGGAGGCCCAAATCCGACTCGGAGTATGTTACGGGGCATCTCCTCACTCATCGCCACACATGAGCGCTGAACCCCTGCAGTACAACTGAGCCTCAGGCTGACAGTCAGGGACTTGCAGCAGATGAACGGTCACTGCAGCCTGCACCCCTCTGTTCCTGCACCCCTTTGCTTCTGCACCCGCAGGACAGCCGCACGCCGCGGAGAGCAAACGGAGCGTCCCCTCCCTGGAGCCTGGCATGGGAAGCGCTGAACCATGCCTGCGTTTTAATAAATGCCATTTAAGAACCTTCCCTTCGTAGAGCTTTATTCATCTTTGGATTTCACAACTCAGATCTCGTTCTATACAGGGAAAAAAAACCCAAAGTCGTTTTTCTGGCGCAGATTTACACTCCAGACCCTGCAAAGTCTGTCGCCTCTCTCCCGCGCGGCTATGCTCCAGGCGTTTTCCACTCTTTGAAAAGGAGCGTTAAATGACGCTTGAGAAACTTTTACACCATTTCCAATTAATCTGCAGACCCGCGGTGCGTTTCAGCGGGAAGATCATCCAGGCTCCTAGAAACCTTCCTTTGGGAAAACAACACCAGAGTCGTGGGGGCTTGGTCGAGGCAAAGGATTTACATGAACCAGCTGCAGGTAAACGCACTGAACCGCCTCCCTGCAAGTTTCTTGGAGAAGCCCCGGTGAGTTACTCCTACTCATTACAGGTACCATTTGAGACCTTTCATTTCCAAAGTTATGGGGAAAGACAAGCAGGTGTCAGCCAGAGCAGTGCCAAGGAGTAACTACACGCGGAGATCAGGACGCAGCATCTTGCAGTCGATCCTGGGACGTTTATTTTCTTTTAAAACCCAACACAAACCCCAGTGTTCGCCCCAAGAAGGATACACTGACGTTACAAATGGTTTGCTGCTGTTAGAATTCACCGGGCTTCACTACGCTGTAACCTACCACCGCTACCGTCTAACACTGCTACACAACTTAAAGAGCCAGTGGCTTTCCGTGCTCGGATTGCGAGTTGAGTACAAAGACCGGGAGCCCAAGGATCGCTCTGGTTTAAAAACTACCTCCCTACGCTTGTTCCACGCTGCGCAGCACTTTCAGTCCTCTCAGTGGTGCGCGCCAGCACCACCCGTAGAGCAGCTTCGAGCTGGAGTGTTCAAGGAGCTTCCACCTGCGGTTCTCCAAACGCTCCTCTCAAAGCAGCCTTACCCGAAGGAGAGTTTGTGCCGAGGGTAAGCGCCTTCCCAGCAGCTCGGGGCTGCTGACCTGGCAGACAGTGGTGCTGTGTTCTGCTTCATTGGCTTTTTGCCTTTTTTAAACTACGCACCTGGACAGTTCAGTGTCCTGAGACACGGGGCAGGTTGGAGTGTGCGGGCTGGTAACCACGTGTAGACGCTCGAGATCTCCCTCAATCCTGAACTGTTTTTAAGAGCCGGCGTTTATACCAGTACTTCTGTAAGCCTGTGAGAGGGTGGGGAGGCACTGGCACAGGTTGCCCAGAGAAGCTGTGGATGCCCCATCCCTGGATGTCTTCAAGGCCAGGCTGGATGAGGCTTTGAGCAACCTGGTCTAGTGGAAGGTGTCCCTGCCCATGGCAGGGGGGTTGGAACTAGATGATCTTTAAGGTCCCTTCCAACCCAAACCATCCTGTGATCCTATGGCAACGCAATGTCACTACAAGGGAACTGCAGACTCGACAGCGTCACACCCCTCAAAGTTTATTCTCTCCGTACAGGCTGACATTACCCCAAACACAAGCCTCTTCACAGCTTTCAGACAAAACGCGTGACCTGCACAACTAAAGTAACTTCAACTCTCCAAGTGCTGTAGAGACACTTTAACCCCACGCCCCTTGTGCGATGTACGTAGGACGGAACCAGGCCGTCCTCAGAACGGCTGCACCGACGGTACGGTTCAAGCACGGATCCTCCCACGCTTACAGGTGCTTAACCTGCCACCCCGCAGGAGGGCTCGGGGGCAGCGTTTGTTTTAAGAAAAGGTACAAACTCCAGACAGTGGGTCCAACTGTTCCGCCCTCGTTTCAGCGCTACGTTCTGTCGCTGCAGTACTGCAAGCACAGACGTCACAGCTCAGTTATTCCTCCAAAACGAGCAAATCACACAACAGCTGCATTCTACAACCACCAGCGAGACCTGAATTCCAGAATAAATGCTGCCAGTGCTCCCGAAGAGCAGCGCACAACCCGAGACAGGCGAACAGGTGCCTTCCCGCCAGCGACAGCTCCGCATAATTCATCCTACAACCCGTGCCGTCTGCCTCCACAGAACCGGCCAGTCATCAGGGGGTGATCGGGAGGGACAAGCCCAGTCCAGAGTCCTTGTTAAGTTCTGAGTGAACTTCACTCTTACAACTCCAGGCAAGGACAGACATGCCAGATTAAAACCGGAGCAGCACTCCCAAGGTGGCAGTTTTCCTCGCGAGGTGCCTGGCAGTCCCGAGGGTCTCGTCTTAGTCGTCCGTCCCAGAGCTGTTGGTTTAGTTTGGTACCGAAACCACCCAAGAATGACACAAGTGGGTATCCTGGTTTCACCCTTTCTGCAGACTGTTGGCTGCAAGCGAAACACAAGGATATTCAGAGAGGGAAAGTCTCACATGAAAGCCAACCGAGAAGCCCACCGGGAATTCCAGCGTGGGCAAACCACACCCTGGCAGTGAGTAAGTCACAGTGCAACTGCCAGGCGGGTCGACCTTAAAATGGCTTTTGTGCTTTACACCATTTTCTCAAGCTGCAAACTGCTTGCTTGCTCCCAACTGCAAGGAGCTGGCTATTGGTTATGGGTTAGAGGAGCCCCGGGATTTTTTCTTCTCTGGAA